CTTTCTAGTATTATATTTTTCTGTCTTTAGGCAGGTAGTCCGGTTACAGTTTTGTAGACCTTACTATTAGTTGAACTATAAAATGAAATTTAAATAATAAACACTTGTAACGGTGTGAAACCCGAAATATTATAACTAATTTCAAATTAATTTTGACTACGTCCCGACCTTTCGGATGTTTTCTCGCATTGTCCCTTTGCGACTAAGTTTCAAACCATTAAAAGTATTTATTTAAATGTGTACTACTCGCGTAAACTACAGACAATGGTATGAATTGAAAGTGCAATGAATTTCGACTTCCTAACGTCACTGGTACGGGAATTGTATGAAGTAATATAATAATATCAACATCAGCGAATTACTTTTTTCTCCTGCGGGGAAACCGTGCTCCAGTGCTTCCAAAACAATGTATGTCAGACAAAACATGGCAAGTACATACCACATAAAATGTAAATGAACGTATCTAAGAACCGTGGCATTTGAGCGCTCCCCTCTGAAACAAAAGCCTGACTTTTAGCCGGCTTAATTAGAATGTCAACGACACTTATTAATCAAAACGGTGTTTATACAGCCTTTATTTTGGGGCCTTATGATGATAACGTTTTGAATCAAATATTATTTTATTGTTAATAGAGAAAATTCATAGCTTCGTGTACACCAATATTCATAACATGGAATTTTCTACATCAAAAATTTTTATACAATCATCTTAGCGGGAAGACTTAACGTAAAATTGTTTGTAGTAGGAAATATATCATTTTTTTATTTATATGACAATAATGTGACATTTTTAATTGTAACCGAAATATGCTAATAACACAATTCTAAAAAACATTTAAAAAACGATATTGCATATTAGTTAAACTTATTTGAAAGTAATGTCAACTACGGCCCAACGTTTCTTCGAAAGTTAATCAAAGATTAACTAACCTAATCGCGTTTTAAACCGTTAAAGTGTTTTATTTGAATGAGTACTACTCGTGTAAACACAATTTTGCTAATTCTATTTATAGAATATTTCTTGGTATATAATTCCAATAACAAGTCATTAAAGATAAAGATGAAATTTAAGCCTACGGTGTTTTTAAATAAGTAACATTTTCGAATTATATTCTTTAACAAGAAACAAACCCAAGGTATTCAGAACACAACTTCCATTCTTCGAGCAAAAATAAGATATATAATCATTGAAGATAGAAATTTTGCTCGTTAAACAAGTTCGCGATAGTTTGAGCTATGTTGCTAAAACAGTACGTGCACAATAGAGCCACTGCAAGTCAATTATAAGTTTTATTTGAAGCATTGATACAAGGCTTTTAATGATTCATCAAAACAAATTTTCACCACAGAGTAAGCAACAATATCGTACCGTCTGTAGTTTACGCGAGAAGTACACATTTAAATATAACACTTTAACAGTTTAAAACGAGATATATATTAGTTAACTTATTTGAATTTTTTTACCGATTTTATGTTTTAATTATATTATTGTAGTAACTGGTCACTAACGTATCCGGACTGGTCACTAACGTAACTGGACAGAAACGTATCTCTACTAAGATACTTTGTAAATCTAAGAGCTGTTACTCACGATGTCGTCTACGTCCCGTCGTTCAAGCAAGCAAATTATTTTTAAAATAGGTATAAACTGTAACAGACTTTTTTTTAGATCGTTTAATGAGGCTCAATAAATTGTTCTATATTTATATTTATTTTCGTTTGTTCGTAAGATATAACTTTTGTAAGCGATTCAAATTAGTTCTAAGTCTATTCCTTTCTATAACCGGAAACACGATATAGCTATTTTAAATTTGGAATAAGAATCTCATCACTCTTTTCGTTAGAGTTCGATATCCGTAACTCTTCAGTTTATCGCTCTTCACGCAATGTAATTAAGTTAAGGATCTTACCCACATCAGAGCGCAGTGTCATCAATCATGGTGGGAGTATATAAGCCGTGTCACACCGAGCGAGCTTTCTTCATTACACAGCCGTCTAGAGCGGACGCCGCCTTATGTATTAATCATACCACTATTACCGAATAATTTCGCTTGCTAGCATCGCTGTAATGTTGGTCCTAATGTACCTATTAAGCGGGAAACGCTTAAATATATTTTTCTTAGTAATAACACTTAGGAGTTCTCGGACGTCCAAATTCTGAGTATCAAACAAGCCTATTTAGTTTATTAATTTTCTTTGATCACATGTTTTTTTTTTAGTTTTCTGGAGCCTGGACCATATCATGTTTGGACTTTTGAAGAAAAACATATGTGGATTTTTTCTCTCTAATATATGCAGTTTTTCTCTACCTTTGTACAGGATTATGAGTATGTATTTGAAAAGTATTACAATATCATATAGGCACCGATACGTTATGTCGGACATTGACAGACACAGCTGTCAATGTCACAATGGAACGAACATCGATCATTAAAGAGGCGGCCATTTTAAACCTTTTTGCGCAGACGCATGCACGTGTTCGGTGAACATAATTTTGAATCGAAGATAATATAACGGGCTCGTTGGTGTAATGGTGGCAATGTATCGCTAATAATTAACGGGACGCGGGTTCGACCCCACCGGCACTAACATTTTTCTAATGAATTAATATTTTTTCTGAATCATGTTAGACTTCGTCTGTAAATCTGGAAAAAATTAAATGGGCGTTAGGAATTTTGAAATTCCGTCGAGGTCACCACCGTCCATATAAAAAAGCTGTTAAGTTTAATCGCGTTTCGGTTTCAGTCTGTGGATTGCGCGATGTATATGTCCAACGCCTCAGCTTCATCAAACTAACCCTTATCGGCCCCTATCATTAAAAAAAATCCTTTGAAATTAATTTTTCTTTATATTTTAATACACAATATAACGCACGCGTTTAAAATATCCAGTCTAATATTATTTGATAGAATGTAGTTTAAGATGCAATAAATCACAAGTATCGGTTACATGGAGCAATTGCGTGTCGGTAGCAGATACGAAACCCATAGCACGCACGCGACGCTCGAAGTTCCTTAATAATCAATCTTGAACAAAATCTTCTATTTGAAGATAAAAATAAAACCAATAGACACCAAAATATTGAAATAATAAATGTAAACAATTTCGATCGTTGTGTAACACGTAATTATCTGATAAGAAGGTAAAAGTACGAAGTGTCGACAAAATGTAAAGACATCCCATTGAGTTAAATAAAAAATCGAAAACGTGCGAAACGGTAGGGCGATCGCTCTGTACGAGTTCTTTAAGTAAAAATAACAATTTAACTGCGTTTGCTCTGGGAGTATGTTGGATATTTTGTTGCAAATTTCAAATAAGTTTTTTAATTAATTATTATTGAATTTGTATGGTACACGTTTTAAATTGGACCAAATGCAGTAACCGACAACTGAAGTTTACCGTTCAGACCCCGTAGGCCTAAGTGAATGTTTACTTAAACCCTTTCAACGGTTTAAAACGCGAAATGTATTAGTTATTTAGAATAGATTTCAACTACGGGCTGTCATTTCGGATGCTTTGCAGCAGCCGTAGGCGGGATAAATAGTAAATAAATAATACATTTCGCGTTTTACACCGTTTAAAGTGTTTTATTGTAATGTTTACAACTACATTACAGTGAATACTTATTTACGTATGATATGTTCCATAATAGCAGGTTTCCCTAAACGCAGACAAATGATTTCCTACCGCCAAAACTTTATAACAGCAATACAATAAAACGAAAGATCGTGATTGCGAGTGAGTTCTTGTGTTAGGGTCAGATCGGGGTGTAATTCAATGATTTCTGGCCGAACTATCACAGACAATGCCCCTCACTTCCGTTCGACGGAAACCCTCTGATATTGTGAAATTAGGTATACATATGAATGTACATTCATATACACACACTTCACTACACAGTATTTTCTTAGCAGATGTACATAGTTTACGGGAGTGGTATTCGTTAAATGTTACCACAAAAACTGTTAACAAAGTTTTACCCGAAACATATACACATTTAGGATGCAGCCAGGGGGAATGGTCAGTAAAAGTAACTAATACGTTGTATATTGCGTTGCATTTTAACCATTTGAAAGCGTTTTGTTTTATCGTGACATGTGTTTATATTTTTCGAAAATAATTTCATTTCATTTTTCATACAGGATTTTAATGTGTTCGTAGTTATATTAATGTATGGCTAATACTCAACGAGTCGCGGGGAAGATCTCAACCGGGTCCAACATTTTTTTAACGAATTATAATTTTTCTAAAATTTATTGGACGTCTGGAAATTATTCTGGATATTAAATGAGTGGTAGAAATATCATAATTCCGTCTGGGACATTAAACTCCGTCCATAGATCAAGACGCCGTCAAGTTTAATCGGGTTTCAGAATTATTCTATAGATTTAAAACCAAAATAGATCAACAGCACATCTTCTTTAGATGTTAAAATAGCTGGGGTGTTACACCTACCATCAAGTGAAAACCGAGCTTGTCTGGTATCATAAAAAAGTACCTATATAATATAATAAAGTTACACAATTATGAGATTGTACATAACATGTTGCTTTTTAAATTAATTGCATATAAAAGCAAATAATACATATATCGTATCTTTAAGAGCTTCATAATAAAATGTGTATAGAACCAGTATTTTGTTTGTCAAAACTTAATATCCTAAAGAAAATCTTGAACTTCACGATACTGATCAGCTAATACCAGTAATGGACCGGACCGCGTCTATTTTCCGAGCCGTTAACACCAGATAACGAACCGATCGCTTTATGGCCAAAGATCGGGCTTCCGTTAATATACGCGACGCTTAAAATTGCGATAAGGGCGGTAGATCGAAGATTTCACCGGATTTGTGGACATATTTTAGCGTAAGTGTTGAGCTTTGAATACGGCTTCCTTTTTTAGAAAAATTCCTTCACGGCCCGGAAAATACGCTGAATTCGCGGGATTCTTTAGTTAATTTTCCATAGCGTACCATACTATGATTACAATAATGTACTTACCAAGGAGGCTTTTCGCAAAGAAATCATACCCGTGACACCTGCAAAAAGAAAATTATTGATAAAACAATATTTTAAGTTCCGTTTGTTATTTACGCAAGTATTTATATATTATAGCTTATTAAAATTTATTTTATATATACCTAATATTTATATAACTTATTTAATATTTATTTGAACCACAGCACAACGTTTCGGATACTTTAGAGCAGCCGTGGCCGCGTTTTAAACCGTTAAAAGGTGTTTTATTTAAACTTCTATATCATCCTAAGTAGAATTATTAAGTAATGAAGTATTATCGTAATGTAAATTCATATTTATGGTTTATAGTTTCTCATCTTAGAATTAATCTAGCTATGTAACAATATAGATAGTAGAACACACGTTAAGCATGTAACAGCTTATGTCATAGTCATGAATAAGTTACAAGTGAAATTAATACATGGTTTATATGGCTCTGCTATAGTAAAAAGTGGTCACGCGAGTGCGACGGAACAGTGTGACTAACCAAACACGCAGGGCTTGCCACTGTGCGTGCTTACAGCCCTGTTCGCGTTATCAGAGATCTGATTCATTTAACAAGTTAAATCGGACAAATTAATAACAAAAATCCGTTGTCTGAAAACGTATCTATACATAAAGCTGACGAATTGTTTTGTTTGAACGCTCTAATCTCAGGAACTACTGTTGCAAATTGAAAAATTATTTTTGTGTTGGTTAGAAAATTTATCGGGGAAGACTTTAAGCTCTATAAAATCACGCTGTTAGCAATAGGAACGAAGAAGCAGTGGGAAATGTGGAAACATTTCAATATTTTAGGGTTCCCGTTGCGAGTGGTGTGAAAAAGGTTCAGGATGTCCAAAAATGATATATGAAAGAATGATTTATTTTTAAATGATCTTAAAATGTCCGAAATAGTATATAGTCTATTTTTTAAGAAATACGTGCAAGAATTCACTATATTTTATAAAGATGAGAGGGTTTGCAAAAACAAATTGACGCCCAAAATATCTATTCTACGCCGACGCACGAGCTAAAAAAGTAATTTTACAATTATTTTATACCAATCATAAGAAAACTCTAGTGTCAGAATTACAGATTAAAAATAAAACATGAACAGAGTTCAACAAAAGGAGTGGGACACCTGTCCCTGTGTTGTATTAAACATTTAATTATCTGTGAAATTGCTGACCTCAGCGCTGATTGCGCGGTCACCACAGACCTGGCAACACTGAGATGAAGCAATGTAAAATAGACTACCTACAGAATAGCGAATACAAAATGTAGAATAAACATTTATTTTAATTAAAAAATATTTACATACAACTTAAAAAATCGTTGATACCTACTTCATAATTAAAAATACCATAGTGACTTTGTTTGTTTACACGTCTTTATTATAAACGTATCCAAATGAACTTTGGGTCACGGTCAGTTAAATTTTATTGTACAACACGATTATTCTTCTAGCAAAAGGTCATAAACCTTTACTATGCGATATACCATGTGGCGAACACATTTTAGTATCCGTTTTATTTACAGGTAAGCCCAACCAAAACTATTTAATGTTTAAATAAAACACTTTAACGGTTTAAAACACGATATATTCGTTAAACTTATTTGAAAATGATTTTTAAATTCGGCCCGACGTTTCGGATGCTGTGCAGCAGCCGTGGTCACGGGGAGACTTAGGGTCTCCCCGTGACGTATTTAAATGTGTACTACTCGCGTAATCTATAGACAGTATTTATTGATTTTTCGGTATTTGAACACAAAATTTTCGCTCTTAACGTAATGCTAGGCCAAAATAACTACTTACCTACAAAGGCAGTGTGAGCAAAGCCGCGTGTAAAATACAGCGATATCATATAAGACTAAGAAACACTTAAGGCGAAATGTGTGTCTTAAAGATAAATGGGAACATCTCATAACGTCACATCTAAAACGCGTCCCGAGCAAGGTTTACAACATCAGCGTCGCTACGACCGCGACCCGGGATATAGCTAGCCAATCTCGGGTGATCCTGGGCAATCCGGATCGTCCCGGCGGGCCGGGATTCGGACACGGGACTAATGTCGCGGTCGCTGGACAAATAGTCCTTAGGATTAGCATCGGTCTGATTAACTAAGGGGAACACTCTTGTCTTTTAGCCTGGTATATTGATTGATTTTCGTTGAAACTTTCCTTTCTAAATGTGTAAATAATTTCTATTCATGTAACCAACTAAAACTAGCTGTGCCAACGACTTCGTTCGCAGAGAAGAGTTATTTTTGACGTCAATGTTTACTTATGCATACCTCCTCTACTTTATAACTATAGCTGCTACCAACGACGTCCGCGTGTCGTCGTTTTTGCGAGTTAATCTTAAAAAATAGATATATACTGACGCGGACTTTTTTTTATATCATTTAAAGAGGTATATTTACATTCTTTATAAATATTTTTGGAATATCTATGTATCATAAGATATTCAAAAATTTTTTTAAAAATTTCTTTATTATACATACTTTTTTGCAGCGCAAGCATCTCTCAAACATGAATAATTTTTACTGTTTCTTCGCCTAAAGCGATGCTCGATAAACGCTCTAATGAACACGAAAATATTTTTTCAAATCGGACCAGTAGTTCCTGAAATTAGCGCGTTCAAACAAACTCTTCAGTTTTATAATATCAGTATAGGCTATAGATTACTCCAAGTCGTTCAATAAGATAGTTCCATTATTTTAGGCGCTATTGCATAGATCGACAAACCCGTTTTGGTTTCGTCGTAGTCGTGTAATAAACTTACAAAGCAGTCATTAAAAAGCTATTTCGGTGAATCATTTCATTCTTATAATGTTTTGATTTTTTTCTGTAGCAGTCGACATTAAGGAAGATATATAAGTAATCATTATTTGCAACAATTTAAGCACCAATATAATATGTTATATATAACCTTACCAGTCGTAAAGTTTGGAGTATGCGATTACCACAGAAACAATCGAATAAAGACACCAAGATGTATCCAATTAGATCCCCATTAAAAGATTCTACAATCGTTCAACCATGAGAACGCGCAATAATTTATTAATAGAACATCAGTAAACATTCCACTCTTGGGAATCGAATCCAGGAAATCCGTCGCGCGAGTACCGTTGCGTCACTGCGTATAACGGGACGGTGCATTCACATTGATATCAACGAACAACAAAAAGCCTCAATTATAAAGACCGGAACATAGAGATTGCTTTAATTCCATAATGATTGTGAATTGTGTAATCGCTCGACCAAGTAAGTAATACGCGCTCGCCGACGAAAAGCTAAGTATCCGAGGTCTTAATAAGATGGACGAAGCGGATTACATAGTCATCATTGATATTCTTTGCGGCGTCACGACTGACTCCAGGCTTAATCTAATTTGAGATGTATCCGGCCATTTAAAAAGCGCTGTTAAGCCCAAGGCAGAAGAGCCAGTCCGTACTTCTAGATCCCACTGCACCATGGACGCGCGTGAGGCCGCATCAACCGGCCTATTTAATTATTCACCTCTTTGAATATTTTTAGCTGACGTCTTTAATCATACCTCGTATTATTAAGTGTAAGGAGGCACAATTAACAATATAAAGGGACGGCAAAACGAAATTAAAGGCAGCGAAAATAACGAGCATTTTGCAGAAATTGAGACTTATTACGAAATGGCGGCCTGCACTTACTTTAATGATATTTTATTTGAAATAAAACTTAAAATGCAATTTCGGATTGCGTACAAAGGGAATTAAAATTATGGTAGACGTGAGTGACCTGCCTACATTTGTAAGAGAGTTATGTAACATTTTAATGCGTGGTTAGGATCGTTACATAGTTAAATTTACCCCTAGACCCCGGCTCGGGGTATATTATGGTAAACTATGACCCCCCTTATAGTTTACCAGATGCCGCGTCATACGTCGAACATATTCTTATATGATATACTTAACTACGGCTCGACGTTCCAAAACCCCTCCCCCCCCCCCGGGCCCGGGGGAAAATAATATATTTCACGTTTTAAACCGTTAAAGTGTTTTTTTTTATGTACTACACGTGGAAAGTAATAGGCAATACTTCAGAATTAAAGAGGTAATAGGTTAATTTATTTATGTCGCGTTTTAAATCAGTAATAATGTTTCATTAAAATGTTATTTTTACATTATTTGTTTAGAATTTACCGGACTACGTTCTCAGGTCGCGTCATAGTTATTCAGTTAAATAAATATTTGCACTCCAATCGTTGCGATAGTAGGTGGTACATGATTCATACAATCAAAAATATAGGATATGTAACAAGAGTGGGCGTGATTCATTGGATCGAAGTTATAGCACGGCAATTACACGCGATTACAAAATCCTCTATGCAGAGCACATTAATGTTTATTGCCTTTGTAGAACGACCATACATTATCCACGATCACTGTTTAATGCGCGAGCGCAGCACGTGTAAACACGAAATTGTAGACACATACTGTGTAACGATGAGTTACTTAATGTTATGTTTTAAATTGGAATATTGGAGAACTTTTCTATAACAAACGGTGGGTTACTTCTAGCTAAATAGTATTAAAATACACATGTAACACATTGGGTAAGTTGTGTCAAGAAGCATACAAGAGATTAGGATTAAACTATAACGGTTTAAAACGTTAATAAATACATAATTAAATAAGTCATTATTAATTGAACTACGACCTGAAATTTCGTATGCTTTGCACCAGCTGTGGTCACTGTGTGACTATGAATGTAAGAAATAATATATTTCGTGTTTTAAACCGTTAAGTGTTTTATTCAAATGTGAACTACTAGTCTAAACAAAAAGGCAATACTTCAGAAATAAATTGCTTTTTAATATCATGTTTTGAAACTACTTAAATTCTTATTAGACTTACACATGCGCTGTCCTTGATACTTGATGCGAGTTCGTAACTAAGGAGGTGCGACATATGTGCCGCAAATGGGTACCATTCTTCACTCAGCCAACTCGATAAATAGTTTATCGAGTTGTAATCTATACTAATATTATAAAGATGAAGAGTTTGTATTTTTGAACGCTGTAATTTCGGAAACTACTGGTTCGAAAAGGAAATTTTTGTATTGTTTAGACCGTTTTTTGAGGCTTTAGGCTACTTCTTGCGACAAATAGGAGCAAAGAGATAGTGTAAATTGTGAAAAGAACGGTAAAAAATAAACCGTTTATTAAAACAAGATTTACAACAAATAAAAAGTACAATTGTGTGTGCCATGTATTAAGAAGTTCTACGACAAAGGTTCAAGAAACCAAAATATATGTATAAAAGAATGATTCCTCTTTAAATTATCACAAAAATGTCCGGCGACAGTATATTTTTTTTATGAATAACCAGCAAGAACCTTTTTAGTAATTAAATTTAGTCGATATTAATGCAGCATTATTTTATTAACATTTTGCAAACAACAAAAAAACGTTTGCCGGATCAACTTCTTATAAGAGTATATACCTATATACAATACTTTTCTATTAAACATTTCTAAATATACCTCGTACGGTACATTCGGCCATTTTGAATACGGCATGTTTGCATGTGCAACCTTTAACGCAAAATAAAACAAATCACGACAAGCCCTTTTTAAAATTTTACAAAATTAAATTGTTAAACCACTATTAAATCAAATTGATTTAGAAGTAGATAGTTTACAGTAAGTACATCTTCCCACGTGATCGATTATAGCAATTTCGACCGAAATGTCAACACAAAATTAATAACTAAATATTTAATGGCACCTTGGAGGATATTACACGGTCTGGTCTGGCCGTTAATTATGCAGCACACAATTAGAGGTACCTGCAGATGTAATCCTTTAAGCTTATTGGATAAAGTAATAAGTTAACATTACCTATTGCAATGACGAGATTTTACATTGTCTGTAGTTCACGTTTGTAGTAAGCATTTTTAACGGTTTAAAACGTTCAATACATTGATAAGATTTTAGTTGGTGACCACTGCTGCTGCAAATATCGTGTGGTAGTCAGAATAAGGTCAACAAAAAACGTAAGGTCGTACTTGCAAATTACTTAACAAATAGTGCGGGTTTTATACCGTTAATTTATTCGTAATAAACTATAACAAATAGTATAAATAAAAGAACCTGTACTGTCTGTTGTAGTACACATTCGAAGAAAACACTTTTCTAGCCGTTTAAAGTGTCTCTATAAAAAAGTACCTACTAACTAATTTTTATTTTAAACATTTTATATAATTTTTACTTATATACTATATGTTGAAATAGTTCTGCCTGTGTAATTGAAATCTAACCCTTAATATAAAAACAATATAATTTAAAGAAGGAAATATAATTAAATGTCTACAGGAAATATATAAAGTGAGCAATAGACATTGTGGACGGGACTGTTAGCGCTGGCTTACAGTTAATTTGTTTAAAAGGCATATCCGCTGCAGCCTCTGATCTGATGTCACAAATTAGATACATGATATCTTAAGTGATCCGCTTAGGACCAGCGCACACACGGTATAAATAAATTATTTTGTTTGTTTTTATTTTATTAATACAATACAGAAGAACAGACAAAACCTGGCATGGAAGGTAGAATTACTCTAGCCAAATAAAATCTATACGTTGTCGACCTTTTTTTGCTTCGGACATTTGGTTTTCATATTTAATATTAAGTCGAATATGTTTCAGAAAAAGGATGAATTGAGTACATTGGAGCTCAAACCCAATACGCGTTGATTATTAGTCATATATATATATATAGTACATTGCTATCATTTGACCAATGAGCCTATGTGTTCAAGTCCAGTACTCTTAGCTGCATATCACAAGGCGCAGGGTTTGAATCCTGGGTCGGAAAATTTGTTAGTGTTTTTTCACAAATTTAGTATTGAATATAGAATATAGAATCTTATTGTAATACACAATAAGATGCAAATAGCTTGAAACATTAACAAAACGCGAGACAAATAAAGAAGCTTTCGTTTATTTCTTTTCTTTCGTAAAATAAATAAAATCTAACCTATATGCATAGGTTAATATTTATATTTATAAATCACTGTAGATGTAGAATACATATCGGAAAAACGGGTGAACCATTCCTCATTTCACCT